ACGGCCAGCACTGAAGGACCACGTCTCAGATCCGTAAGTCATCACTGGCAACACGCACTGGTTGTATACTTTAGTTTTCAGAGATTGAGGTATACCTGACGAGAAGATGTGTCGTAATTTCCCGAACGCTGCCCAGCCGAGTTGAATCCGTCGATTGACCTCGACGGGTCGAAGTTGGACTTACCTAGTCGGACTATTTATCCCAGGTAAACGTACTCGTCAACAACTTCGAGCATAGTGCTCCCAACAACTACCGGCATAGGTGTGACATGGACATTAAAAATGATCTTTGTTTTGTCCATGTTAATCTTAAGACCTATCCGTTGGGAGACACTATTGTGGTCATTGAGCATAGTGCTAAGGTCCTCCAGCGATTCTGCCATAAGGACTATATCGTCGGCAAATCGAAGGTGAGTGATGTATTCGCCATTGATGTTAATACCGTATCCTTTCCAGTCAAGTAGCTTGAAAACGTCTTCCAACGCAGCGGTGAAGAGTTTCGGGGATATAACGTCACCCTGTCTTACACCTCTCTGCAGTTGGATAGGTTTCGAACTCTGGTTCTGTACTCGGAGAGCCATCGTAGCCCTACTGTACAAACACTTCAGCACTTCGATATACCGACAGTCAACTTGGCACCGCTGAAGGGACCGTAGCACCGCCCAAATTTCGACGGAATCAAAGGCTTTCTCATAGTCCACATACGCCAGGCAAAGTAGCAGATTGTACTCTTCGGTCTTCTGTACAATCTGCCGCAGGGTATGTATGTGATCTATGGTACTGAAGCCTTTTCGGAAACCGGCTTGTTCGGGAGGCTGGAAGTCATCGAGTCTGCGTGCGAGACGATTCGTAATGACTCTCGAAAACAGCACGTAGACGCGGCTCAGAAGAGAAATCGGTCTGTAGTTCTTCAAGAGAGCGTTGTCGCCTTTCTTAAAGAACAAGACTACCGCACTTCTGTTCCACGCCTCCGGAGTAGTGCCACCATGGAGGACGGAATTGAAGAGCTTCTGAAGGACTTCAAGTACCGGTGTTCCACCCGCTTTCAGAAGCTCCGCTGTAATTCCATCCTCGCCTGGGGCCCTGCCGTTTTTAAGGTGCTGGAGAGCCATTCTAATCTCGCTCAGGCTGACGTCCGGGATATCATTAAGCTGTTACTCCTGTAAAATCAAATATCATCTTAACTGTGTCAATATAAAAAAAAACAATTAAAAGAGTTACCAGAGGAATTCAAATCTAAATGGACTTGTCACACGTGACACGCCAATTAAAGAAACTACAAGTCAACTTGAAAACTACAGTACAAAAGTTGGAAGTATCCGCCGAAAATATACGGCAAATTGTTAGAGAAGAGTTAGAAAGTATTTTCGACAGTTTCAAAACCAAGATAATTAAACAGATAGAGGTAAAAACAAAGGAAGTTCAAAGTCGAAAGTCAACTGGAACATATTCAAAACGAAGTACAATCCAATTGTAAGAAAATTAATGAAAATACAACACTACGAAGTACAATCATCAACCTTAACTACAGACTTACACGACTCGAACAGCCTATCTATTCAAGGGCTAGCTATCTTGAAATACAAAATATACCTGAACATAAATCGGAAAACTTAATCACAATAGTTAAGCAAGTTGCCAACACAATTAACTACAAGTTGGAAGAATCAGATATTCATCTGTGCACGAGAGTAGCTAAAGTAAATAAAGATAGCCGACGCCCTAGATCTGTTGTAATAAAATTTGGTTCCCCAAGAATACGTAATTACTTTTTAACATAGTTATCAAAACAGCTAAGAGTCAAAGTGAAAAGCTTAAAAGTAGTCATCTTGGCATTGGCGGAGAGAAGCAGTCAGTCTTTGGCATGGAGCATCTGTCAACCACCCAAAAGGAAATAAGTACATGCTGCAGCGAGATGTAAGGCAAAATAACTCAACTACCTAAAATTGGTCTGGGTCAAGGGAGGATGAATATTTATGAAACATCTAAGTACAAATTAATAAAGACCATCCAAGAACTGTCTCAACTAAAATAGCTGTCATAGCAAACTTAGTGTATAAAGGTGTTTTATTGTTTATCTAAATTATTTTGTTTATGTAACCTGTATGTTGTTAGATCATTTGAACATATCATTTATCAAAATGTAAGAGGCTTAAACACAAATGTGGTCGAGGTACGTCAACATATTATTAATAATAAATACGATGTTTATATATTCACAGAAACTTGGCTTAATAACAGTTGCTACGACACTGAAATCTTTGCCAGTGGCTATGCAGTGTACAGACGAGATCGTGAAACCTCTCCTCTATCAGGGCTAAAAAAGGTGGGGGCGTGCTTATTGCTGTATCCGAACGACTCCTGTCAAGGCCTGTCATCAAACTTTGAAAATAAACATTTAATTCTCATACAAAACGTATCAAACTTATATAAGATAATACTTACGCAATTAATTTCCATTAATTCTATTTATTCACAAAGTGATAATTTCGACCGGGAAACAAATCCTGGTCTCTAACTTTATTTTAATATTCCTTTAAATTACAATACTATTGGAAAGGTGATTTCAACCGGGGAACTGAACCCGGAAACATAATTTATATCTTAAAAATTCCCTATATGAATTTATTAAAAAAATATTACTAAGAAAACGACAAACTAGTCCGGCCTGGGAATCGAACCCAAGAGCTTCAAACTATTAATTCGATATTTCTTTAAGATTCAACTAAGTGTTTTCTTATTAGAATATTATTGCTCGATAATTTGTTTTTAGAAGCTGTTCGTAATCGGTTAACCAATAAATTGAAATATTCTTATAGACGCGTCGCCAACAACCTCCCCCCCCCGTGCATCAGCACCATCATTTGAGAGGCGTCGCGGGTACCAGGACTATTATTCTGGATGTAGGTCTCCTCAAGATACCTGTGCTAGTAATGACGTCAACCACTCTGGTGTGACCGTCTGGTCCCGGTAGCGTCCTATTAATCTTGCCTTTCGGCCACGTATTTCGTGGCAACGAATGATCTATTATCAAGACAACATCACCTTCTTTAAGTTCCATGAACCTTCCGTTTTTACCCGTTCGAGGTATTAAAGTAGGCATGTACTCTTTCAGCCATCTCGTCCAAAAATGGTCGGCTAACCTCTGGGCGGATTTCCAATTGAGTTGACCCGTCAGATGTTGCTCTAAAAATAATCCAGGTGGTCGATCACCACATGAGCGTCCGAGAAGAAAATGATTGGGTGTCAAACCCTCTTCAGGACTATCCATACTGAATGTTACCAGAGGTCTGGAATTTACAGTATGCTCTGCTTCTAAAAGCAACGTATGCAGAACCTCTCGCGGGCTCCTTTCTTTGAGCGTAGCGGTCAACGCAATTTTAATCGATCTTATTAACCTCTCCCAAGCGCCACCCATGTGCGGTGCTCCCGGAGGTATAAATTTCCATTTAATATATTTTCTAAATGACTCGTTTTTCATGCCCTCACAGCACTCTTCGCATGCTTGCAATAATTCTTTATGTGCAGCTTTGAAATTCGTCCCGTTATCGCTGTATATAACGGCTGGTTTTTCTCTTCTGGCGATAAATCGCCTCAACGCCATTATCATTGACGCTGGTGTTAATGAGGCTGCTAATTCCAGATGTACTGCTCTGATGGTCAGACACGTGAATAAAACACCCCAAAGTTTTTCGTGTCGCCTTCCTATATTCACACTCATAGGTCCGAAATAATCTACGGCTTAGCATGTAAAAGGTGGTCCATGATGAGCTATTCTCTCCAGAGGAAGATTTCCTTGTGGCACGTTCTGCGGCTTTGACCTGTACTTTGACCAAGACCTAAAATTTTTGGTTCACCTCATTCATCACCGTCTGGTGATTGGCATGTCCAAAATGATGATGAACTTCTCTAATCATCATTTTAACGATTTCGTGTTTACCGTCTAATACGACAGATTTTCTACTTTCTTCAGTCAAATTAGACTTGAAAGGTAAACGCCCATTTAAACGGAGTAAGTTATCTTCTCCTATTTCCATAGATAATTTACTTAAGCGTGAACTTCTTTCAACGCTTTTGCCCGCTTTCAAGCATTTTATTTCCGAATGGAAACACTGGTCTCGAACGAACTTTCAAATTAATAATTCCGCTCTTTTTAAGAGCGTTATGTCCAACGCGCCATCGGGTCCTTTAACCGACTTTACTAAATTTTCGTTGGAACACATAACCGACTTTTCGGCTGTGTTGTCGGGTCCTTTAACCGACTTTCTTAAACTCTTGAATTTTTCTACCGCTTGTAAGGTACGTATAGTTGCCCCAAGGAATTTCTTAAAGCTGCTAAATCGTCCGTAGTCGGGTAGACTTAACGGCTCTTGCTTTCTTAGCGCGTTTACTCCTTTCGGCCATTTTTCTTCACCCCTTTGTAAACTATTTATGGTGTCCACTTGTTTGGGCCATAAATCAGGACCTGTCCTGAGGAATTCAGGTCCTTGAAACCAGCGATGACTTACATCGAAGGTGAAAGGAAAACTTCTAGTGGCGTCGTCTGCCACGTTTTGTGACGTCGGAACCCATCGCCATTCGCATGGTTTACTGTGATCTTCGATCTCAACCAATCGATGAGCAACGAATGGTTTAAAAGCGCGTGGATCTGACTTAATCCACGCTAACACTGTACGTGAGTCCGTCCAAAATTTAGATTACGCTGACAGCTCCAGTCAGAAGTAGACGTATCGTGTGTTGTTCTAGCTAATTATAAAATTTTAAAATTTAATTTTAACGTGATTTATATTTGGAATATAATTTAGTGGTGCATAAAGTTTAATCTAGCTTGACACTTAATTCCTATTATAACCGCGTAATACAACGTTGCGAAGCGACGTGCAGCCAGTGCTGCCCTTCGCCACACCTCCTCGAGTAAAGGAGACAACCAGCGATTTTTCTTCCTGCGCACACGCATATTTTTTACGTACACAGTGCTAATACTCGTTGACCATCTTAACATGAGCGTGAAGCGGTCACCACCCGGTTCTAGAGCGGGCTCACCTTTTAGTGGTGAATCTTTGAGCGGATCAAACACCGATCTACCTACTAACGATTATCATAAAATAACACATAGAAGACGTAAACAAATAGATGCAGATTTCGTGTCGTCTTCTCAGCTGACAGAATTCAAAAATGAAATAATGGAATTTTTCAATAATTTTGGGAACTCACAGAGGAAAGAATTTAAAAGTTTGAAAGATGAAGTGTCACAAATTAAAGGAGTAAAAGACGACGTCACGATTATTAGGGAACAGCTGGAATCTATAAAAATCAGTACTGTGAAAATCACTCGCGAGCATAGTGAAATGATGAATGATATTTCCGAATTGAAAAACTCGTTAAATTATCATTCAGCTGAACAAACCACTCTCACAACACGTATTGATGATGTGGTATCGGAGATCAAAAAGGTTGATCTGTTGCAGCAAAATATATCGGAATTACAAGAAAAGTATGAATCTCTGCGAAATGAATATAATTTTATGCAGCAACGTGATCGCGCCATGAATATTGAGATCTCTCAGATCCCCGAAAAAAAGAATGAAATTGTCTCCGATTACGTTATTGCAATAGGCAAATACACGGGAATAGTTATATCTGCCGAGGACTTAATTTATGCTCATCGTGTTAAATCACGTGACAGCGACAATAAATCACCAAAAAATATTGTGGTTCAACTAAAATCAATCCTCTTGAGAGACAGCATCATCTCTGCTGTACGTAAGAAGAAGGGTTTGACTACAATTGACATAGGAATCCCGGGAGAGTCGCGAAATATATATGTTAATGAACACCTCACACCTGCAAATAAAATGCTACTAAAACAAACCAAAGTCGCTGCTAAATGTGCAAATCCTAAATATGAGTACGTGTGGGTTCGTAACTGTAAAATTTATATAAGGAAAGACGATAATTCCCCAAAAATTCACATAAAAAACTTTTTTAGATTTAAACAAAATTAAATGACTGTGTTACTTCAAGTTACGACTATTGTTGTTTATCTTAAACGGTGTACTCGTATTGTTCTATAATAGTGTGGCTGAATGTTTTTTAAAATCACATAATGTTACTATTTATATATATTATACAAACATTTTTCAAATACTTTATTTTGTATACTATAGACTTATTATTTTATATACACTATATACTTTATTCTTTATACTATATTGTTATTTATACTTAATATATACTCGTACATACATAAGCTCCTTTTATCGATCTGTGTGGGTAACTCCTCATTTAATAACGGATTCATGCTTACAAAACAACAAAGGTATGGTAATTCCTATAATATTAGTGATGTTGAAAAGTAATCGATTAGATTTGTTTTTCGTTCTAAATTCATATATGGTTACTATTTATATACACATAAACATTTTATATAAATACAAATTACACTTAATACATACATACACATACAACGATTGCTTGATCAAGAGGATTACCACTAATGTGTTATCTAATGTTTATCTACAAAACTACATAAAATTGTTAAGTTCCGACCTTACTACTTTATTTTCAAGTACCTACCGAAATTTAGAGTCTTATTGTGAGTCTAAATTACAGCTTATCATTATAAACAGTAAAGTATTTCGGAACACATTATTTTTGTTTGTTTATGATTCATTTTCACTTTAATTGTTCTTTGTTTTAATAGCCGTTTATAATAATCTAAAAAAAGGGTTTAAGCCTGTACTACCAAAATGTTCGTGGTTTACGGACGAAATGTAATGAACTATATAACAATATCTTATCTCAAGACTATGATATAATCTTATTGACCGAAACCTGGTTAAAAAGTGATATTTATAATAACGAACTATGTGATCTTAGATATGATGTTTTTCGAAGTGATCGTAATTATTTATTGTCAGGGAAAAAGGTCGGTGGCGGAGTGTTAGTCTGCATACGTCGCGAATTGAGTGCATGTCTATGCGGCCAATGGTCCAGTGCACCTACAACGCATGAGTCGGTGTGCGTGACTTTACCTGCACGTACGCTTGGGTCCTCAGTCGATCTACATATAGCTATAGCGTACATTCCACCTGACTCGAACGTAATACAGAGTGGATTGAATGATATTAAGCATAACTTATCGCATTGCATTGAAAATTATCCCATGGACAATTTTTTACTCGTGGGAGATTTTAACTTACCGTGTTTGAGATGGGACTCCAACAATTGTATTGCACACGTAGACGGTTCATCTTTTATGCATAATTTAGCGATATCTTTCGTTGATGATTTAGGTTACCTCGGTCTTAAGCAATACAATTATAATTGTAACTCAAAAGGTAATATTCTGGATCTATGTTTTTGCAATTTACCATTGGTTGTTAGAGCTTCGTTACCTCTCATAAAGGAAGATATATATCATCCTGCATTAAATATTGAAATACCTGATTTTAGCATACAACCCTTTAAAAAACGTAAACATCCGCGTTTTAACTTTTTCAAATGTGACTATGAGAAGATGAATAATTATTTTAAAAATATTGACTGGCGCTCAGAATTAAATGCCGCCGACACAATTAATGAAGCCGTAGATCTTTTTTACAGTAAATTACATGAATGTTTCTCCATTTACGTACCCATTAACATGTATTCTAACAACCGACATTTTTATCCTGTATGGTATTCTTCTTCACTAATAAAAATCATTCGCGAAAAATGGCGCGCTCATTTTAATTGGAAAAAATACCGTAACCCAAGAGATTATGATGAATTTTCGTTTTTAAGAGCACGACAACACCGTATTCAACTTAATTGTTTTAACTTTTTTACAAACAATGCTGAACAATATATTAGGTCCAATCCTAAACACTTTTGGAAATATGTCAGTTCGAAAAGGGGCTGTTCCAGTTATCCAAGAAAATTTACACTACGAGGCCAGACATATGACGAGGGTGCAAGTATTTGCTCAGCTTTTAATAAATTTTTTCAAAGTGTTTTTATTACACCTTCATCAAGTAGCCAAACTCAGCCTCGTCAGACATTTGAGTACTCTAGTACGGAATCATTATCCCGCATACATATTACTAGAGAAACAGTTCTTAAATTCCTAAAATCACTTGATAAATCTAAGGGACCTGGAACTGATGGTATTCCCCCTATTGTATTGATTTCATGTGCTGATAGCTTGTCATTGCCAATTACTATTTTGTTTTGTCGTTCTCTCGATGAATGTATTTTCCCAGATTTATGGAAAAAAGCAAATATAATTCCCATTCATAAAAAAGGACCAAAAACCTCAATTGAAAATTACCGTCCGATTTCTATTTTGAACACTATCAGTAAGATTTTTTGAAAAAATTGTTTACAGCTTCATCTACCCCCTTATAATCCGTGGCATTCCTGATACACAGCATGGCTTCATAAAAGGACGGTCTACGGTATCAAATTTGTCTTTGTTCTCAAGTTATGTCCTCCTGCATATGGAGAATGGTGGTCAGGTGGACGTGGTCTACACTGATTTTGAAAAAGCTTTCGATCGTGTAGACCACGACCTCTTGCTCCGCAAGCTCTATTTGCTTGGAATTCAAGGAGACCTACTCCGCTGGGTGTGCTCCTACCTTTCCAATCGCTCTCAAGCTGTAGTGCTGGGAGGATACAGATCCGACTATGTAACTGTTCCCTCGGGTGTCCCTCAGGGATCGCACCTTGGCCCGCTATTCTACAATGCGTACATCTTTGACATTGCCAACTGTTTTTCTTATTCTAATCACCTATTATATGCAGATGATAAAAAAATATATCGGGCAGTTAATTCTGTTGAAGATTGTAAATTGTTACAATACGATTTAGATAAACTGTTTTCTTATTATCAACAAAACAACATCTTCGTTAATATTAAAAAATGTCAGAGTATAAGCTTTACGCGCAAGAAAAGTCCAATTGTTTTTCCTTATAACTTTAATAATCAACTATTAACGCGGGTCAATGATGTACGCGATCTCGGCATTTGTTTTGACTCCAAGATGCTCCTCAATATGCATTATGATAATATAGCAGATAGAGCTTACCGTATGCTTGGATTTGTTCTAAGAACCTGTCAACCGTTTAAAGGCACTTTAGCATTGAAAACGTTATATTTTGCATATGTGAGAAGCATACTGGAGTACGCTAGTCCTATATGGTCGCCTTCATATGAAGTTTATAAGGCACGCTTAGAGCGTATTCAGAAAAAGTTTTTAAAATCTCTAAATTTCAGGTGCGACGGCACTGCACACACATTTATGTCTTATAGTGATAATTGTCGTAAATTTAATTTTCTCACGTTAGCGGAACGCCGTGAGATCTTAGACATGGGTTTTTTTGTTCGATATTTTACGCGCTCAACTTGATTGCCCTGCTCTTCTTTCACAAATATCCTTTAATGTACCCCGACGTAGGACTAGGCATACACCTTTACTGGGTGTTCCCCCACCCTTACATCATACTAATTATGGTAAGAATTGTGGCCTCTCCAGAATGGTTAGAACTTTTAACACAAAATTTTCTCATATTGACCCATTTATCCATTCAAAAAATTTATTTAAGCGAAAGGTAGTACAGGCTTTGACAGTAGACAATTAACCTTTATTGTTTATGTTGGTAGCCTCTGTAGTTTTGTAAATCCGTAGTAATATCTCAAGTTATATGTCTTCAATTCGCGTATATTCTATGTATGTATATTTATTTAAATGTTAGTATATATATACTTGCCTTTTTTATTTAAATGTATAAGTGTTTAATTATAATATGGTTATATGTATATGTGTATATGTATGTGCTTACATGTGTAAATATTATCCAATTGAAGTATAAATAATTTTCTAGGTCAGCCATGACAAACATTTTAAATTTATTTTTGATTTAAGGTTTTGTAATATTCTTTTTTTCAACTTTTCATACTTCTGATTTGTGATAAATTGTGAAACGAGGATGACTATTATTGGCCCTATGTAAAACATATTATATAAGATTTTTGTTCATAGAATGAAGGCTGTTGTTATCCCTAATAAATAAATAAATAAATAAAAAAAAAATATTCGCTCGGATATCTCGTACTTGCTCTCTTCCTTAACTGATGCAGCTAGTCGGCTGCCCATAAGAGCTGCTTGTAATTCAAGCCTTGGAATGGAAATTGATTTCTGCGGCGCTACTCTTGCCTTTGCGGCGATCAGCGTAATCCGCCTTTCTCCTAGCTCGTCCGTGGTGACGTAATACACCGCGGCGGCGTATGCTTTCTCACTAGCATCCGTGAAAGTGTGTAACTCTCCCTTGCCGATGCCTTCAGCAACGGGTCTAGGTACTTCTAAATGACCTAATTTCTTCACTTCCGATATCCATTTACAAAATAATACGTGTAATTCGTGTGGAACTTCTTCATCCCAAGAGATGCCTGTCTTCCATACTTGCTGGATTAGCGACTTCCCTTGAATCGTTATCGGTGATGCGAGTCCTAAAGGATCGAAGACTGACATCACAGCGCTAGTTATCTCCCTCTTCGTAGGCGATCGTAAACCTTCCATCACCTCTTCCGGTGTGTTACGAAGACTTATGGAGAAACTTATTATATCTCGTTTGATATTCCAGATCAAACCTAAAGTGCGTTCTGTGTGCTCCTTATCTCCCAGGGAAGCACTGTCGCTCTTATATTTATTCTCCATTTTATGTAAAACCTCGGGTCGGTTGCTAGCCCATCCCCTCAGTTGGAAAGAAGCACGTTTATGTAA